AGAAATTCTGGCTCAAAGGATCACTGAGAGATGAGAGATGGAATCTCTAGGTCCTTGGGTCTCAAATCTGAGCTAGCATCAAATCCCCTGGAGGGTAGGGCACAGATCTGAGCCCACCCCCGAGCTTCTGATTCACCCCGGGCCAGGTGGGGCCTGGGGATGTGCATTTCTAGCATACTTGAGGGTGATTACACTGCAGCTGGAACCACACTTTGAGAGCCACTGCCCAGGGCCCCTCCACAGTGGGCGCCCAACCAGGGCTGGAGAGGGTTGTGATTTACTTCTTTTTATAAGGGAGTCAACATGTAGAGAACCTAGCACAGTGCCTGGCTCGCAGTGCAAGGGCAGTAAATGTTATTTTTGCTATTATTACTGAGACTGGAGCTCTGCTCACAGCTCACTGGGGAAAATCATGAATGGATGAAACAGAAAGAGAGCGGTGCTGGAGAGGGTGTGATGCCTGAGAAACTGCCCGTTCATTTACTCCCTCCAGCAGTCCTGACTGAGCATCCGCTGGGAGCCAGGCAGCACTGGAAGCACGGGGGCAGAGCGCAGGGACCCCCTCCCCAACATCCTGTCCTCGTGATTCAGACTGTGGCTCCAGTGGGGACGAGAGCTGGGGTAATCAGGAAGGCTTCCCAGGGGAAGAGAGGCTCCATGTTGTGTGCTGGATGGAAGGGTGAGATTTAAAGCAGCAGGAGAGGCAGGCATTCTGGAAAGATCTCAGGGCCCCTCAAACACACACACATGTGCAGTGCCAAGGGCAGAGGGGGTCTCTCCCAGGGGCTCACAGGGCTCCAGCCAGGCAGCCTGGGGAGGGGGAGGCCTGACACTGTTGGCAGCCATATTAATTAGTCAGCGGGGGCTGCCACAACAGAGTACACAGACCGGGCGGCTTAAACCATAGGGGTTGATTTCTCACAGTTCTGGAGGCTGAAGTCCAAGATCAAGCTGTGGGCAGGGCTGGTTTCCGGGGAGGCCTCTCCTCCTGGCTTGCAGACGACTACCTTCTCCCTGTGTCTGCACACGGCCCTTCTCTGTGTGCCCACTCCTGGTGTCTCCTTCTCATCTTTAAAGGACACCAGTCCTGTTGGTTTAGGACCCACCCTTATGAACTCACTTAACCTTAATTACCTCCTGAGAGGCCCCACCTCCAAATAGACTTACATTGGAGGCTAGGGCTTCAACCTCAGAATTTAGGGGGGCGGGGGCCACAGTTCTGTCCATAACAGGGTGATAGGGCAGCCTGACCTGGGATAGAGCTAAGCCTGCCAGGCCGAAGCTCTCTGCCTCCCCTGCAAGGCTGGGATGGAGCAGCTATAACCGAAGAGGCGCTCGGCTGGCAGCCGGCCCCTGGGGGTGCTCCCCCCACACCTTCCCTGGCCCCCTCCCCCGGATCTCAATTACTCCCTTCCCAGCAGTTGGCTGCCTCTTGGGTGAATTGTTCATCAGAAGATGCTCTGGCCCCATGCTGTTGTCACTGATTTCGTTTTGATTATTCAGATTAGTGGCAGCGCGGCCGCCCGACTGCAGGAGGTCATTAGGGTGAGCGTCGCGTACAGGCCAGGTCAGCGCCAGAGCGGGCGGCTGGGGTCCTGCAGCACCACCCGGGCCTCGGCTCCACAGACCAGTCCTCCCACAGGGCCAGTGTCCAGCCCAGGAGTGGGGGTTATTTGGGGGGGTGAAATTCACTTTTGTCTTCCTGTGCCCCACCCCAGGTCATGACCCTGCGTTTCATCAAGTGTACTTTTCATGCCATTTCCTTTTTGCTGCTTTTACGAAGAGGGCGGGGCAGGGGAGCGGGGAGGCCAGTGCGTGTTTATGAGCCTTCCTTTCACGAAGCGCTCTTTTCCCCATAGAAATCTCCTTTCCCGCTGATTCATTACGTGTCGAGAAGCAGAGCGTGACGTGTTAAAAGCCGTCTTGATAGTATTTGATATTCAGTACTAACAGCTCACCACCTCGGAGGAGGGGGCTTCTCTCCCGCCCCCTCCAGAGGGGGAGGGAGACACTCTGCATACGGGATGTGCTAAGACAGTAGGTAATTTGCATTAAGCATCCAGAAATTCTCTGCTTGCAATCTGTCACCCTTCGCTGGGTTTTTATTTTATAACCTTCACGGCGTAAGCTGAGGAGCAAGAGGCAGAAAGAACGCAGTGGCCACACCCCCGATGGGGGCTGGAGGAAACTGGCTGGGGGGCAGCGGTGAGCACAGGGGGTCCCTGGTCAGAAACGCCGGAATGCTCTGGCAGAGGTGACTGCCTGTCCAGGCATTAGCAACCCTGCCCGGTCTCAGGAGCCCAGACCTCTGCGCGGGGTGTGGCCAAGTGGCCAGAGGTGGGGCTGCCTGAGCCCAGCTCACCTGTCCAGAGACCCACGTCCAGACTCAGTGGGGTCTTCCCTGAGAACGTCTGGTCTGGTTTTGCAGTGAGCCCTGGAGGTGCTTCTGCTCCCGGACGTGCAGTACCTGCGACTGTGGGCTCAGGACGAGCTGCGTGTGTACCATCCTGACTGCGTATGAGGAACTTCTGCGGGGCTGTTTTTAAAACATGCGCTCCTCCCTATCAAGGACATCGGAACCTCTGAGGGACTGCCGGCTGGGACAGGCCATCTGTGTGTACAGCAGCTTCAGAGAAGGGGTCCTGGAGCCCTGCTCTCGGCCCCGCCCCCCAGCCTCCGTTTTCTCATCTCTGAAATGAAGAATTTGGGGAAGGTCCCCAGCCAAGGGGGGCCCGGGTGTGAGGACAGGGCCTGACCCCGACTCCTGCCTGGGCCGGGTCTCTCCTGCTATCCGTCTTCGCTGTTGGATTTCCAGGTAGAAGCCCTCCGGGGCTTGGTGAGGCCTGCAGACCCCTGGCCTGAGCCCTCCCTTCTAGCTGCCGGGCAGGTGGGAGGCTCGAGCCAGCCAGAGCGCAGGCCTCCGGGGGCTGCCGGCGAAGTTCCTGGTATCTCAAGGTGGCGCTGTCCGCTGGTGGAAAGGGGGGCTGTAAACCCCGCCCACACCCCCAACCCCGCACATGCCCGTCACCTCTGCCCCAAACAGGCCCCCATGGCTTCAGATCAGGCAGCTGAGCTAGTCTGGGGCAGAAGTCACTCAGCTGCCATCCCATCTCAATGACCCGCCAGAATTCAGGACCCACCGGGAGCAGGGCCATGGCCCTGGCGTTGCCCAAGGCACAGGAGGCAGAGCTGGGAAGACCTCCAGAGGAGCTGAAGCCTCATCAGAATAGAGTGGAGGGCGAGGATGGTGGATGAACACCTGGGGCAGGGGCACCGAGAGGAGAAGCGGCAGCCTCGAGGGATTCCCAGCAGATTGTAACCCTCGCCGGGGTTTTCTTGGGAAAACCACCGAAGTTCTCCACGAAGGTGCTGACAAGGAACAGCGGTGTGAGACAGATGGTGCCACAGAATGCTCCAAGGCTGACCCCATCCGTGGATTTCACAGCAAGAAGCCCCGTTCTCCAAGCCCTGTTCCCATAGCATCAGCCAAGCTGCAGGGCAAGGCCAGCATCGCATGCCGTGTGCCGCCACCATCGCCGTCACTGCTGTCATCACCATCGTCACCATTAGCGGTTATGACCACCACTACGCTCACTTGGCTCAGCACAAAGTGCCAGACAGGAGACCGGGTCCCTCCTGGCCACTGTGAGGCACTTGTTGTTATCTTCCCATTTTGCAGATGAGAACACTGAGGCTCAGAGAGGCTTAGCGATTTGCCCAAATTCACACAAGTAAAGATGAAAACCTGGACTCCAATCTAGGTCTGAGTCCAACCCCCCTCCTACCTGCTGTGTAGACTCTCCTTGTGTGTCCTCGTGTGCCCCTCACAGAGTGAAGGCAGGCCCTGAGGGTTTGACAGCTCTTCCCCTGGAGTCCACGCCAGATGAGCTCAGCCAAAGGGGAAAGGGAATTCTTGCATTTGCAAAGCGTCCGGCCTCTCCCTAACCCAACCCTGTGCCCTGCCCTCCTTCCAGACCACCAGCTCCCACTGGCCCCCGTTCACAGGGACCTGGGTTCCTCCTGGAGCCCCGGGCACCAGCTCCAGCCCCGGGGCTGTGGACACACTGCCTCTGGACCCAGCCCCACCAGAGCCACCAGAAAGAGCTGGGCTGTGCCAGGCGCCTGACAGGCCAGCCCAAGCTTGGCCACCTTTCGGCCAGGTCTGCTCCAGCTGAGAAAAGACAGCAGGGTGAGAGGCCTAAAACTCAGTCAGTCTACACCCTCAGCCAGGCAAGTCGTTTATTTTAGACTTCCAGCCCCATCCTGCCAGGCAGGCAAGGAGCCCACCCTCAGCAATTCTGGGGCCCCCCACTCCAATACCAGGAAGAGCCAAGGCCCAGGGTCAAGGAGGCTCAAGCCAGAGCCCCAGCGCAGCTGTGCAGGTGGCCGGTCATCAGGGGGCACCCGCTGTCCAGGCCACATGGGCCCTTTAGTCTGTCCCCTTCTCCTCCGGCCTAACCTGCAACCCCTTGAGGCCAAGAAGTCTCATGAGAGCAGGGAGCGGAATCGTTCCCGCCCCGCCCTTTCCCACCCAGGCTTGGGCATCCATCCTGCTCGGAGCCGACCCCTTCCCCCTTCTCCTTCTCTTCTCCAAGTCTCCATGACTGCGGTCTGGGGAGGCCCCTCGGCATCCGGCGCCTCTCCTTCCCTGTCCTCACTCTCTTTCCATTCCACTCCAGAACTCCTCGAAGCACCGCCCGATGCACTTGGACTTTGGGAAAATAAAAGCAAGTCTCTGGGCGGCCCCTCCCCATGCTGTGCTATAGAAAAGGAGGACAAGAGGCAGAGGGGGAGCGCAGAGGTCCCCCGAGGAGCGGGGTCTGGTGGGACAGCTTGGGCCTCCTTCCTCGCCCCTCTTTTCTTCTTCCTCCCCTCCTTACAGGCATCACTTTGTGGATGCAGAGAGGGGGCTGTGCTCTGGGAGGGCCCAGGTCCCACCCCTCCCAGGATCTCCCCCTACTCCTGTGGCCCCTAACCGCCACCTACCTCTCTCCCCGCAGTCCACGGCATCAAGTGGACATGCAGCAACGGGAACAGCAGCTCGGGCTTCTCGGTGGAGCAGCTGGTGCAGCAGATACTCGACAGCCACCAGACCAAGCCACAGCCTCGGACCCACAACTGCCTCTGCACCGGCAGCCTGGGTGAGCGGGGTCCCCGGCGGGCATGCGGGCAGAGAGGGCTCTGCCAGGCAGCAGGGGTGATGTCAGTGAGGGGAGGGGGTCGGCCAGGAGCCAGGGCGACTCTCCCTGGTCCTGCCCCATGGGGCTGGCGAGGCTGGCGGGGCTGGTGGGGCAGCCCAGTTTGGGCAGGAAAGAGTGGTTTCCAGAGAGGCAGGCAGGCAGGCTCCCTCTAGGAATTTGGGCAGCACAGCTGGGAGGCGGCCTCCAGGGCACACATCCACATCCACCCACAGCGGTGCCCTCCAGGCCCCGGGATCCTGGGCATCGTCAGCCGGAGCCCAGATCCCCAGGCGCTGGGCGGACACGGGCTTTTCCAGGAGATGAGCCCTGAGTCAATGGGACCACTCAAGCTAAACCTCTTGCTTTAACCTCTGTCTCCTCCAAGAATGTAACATGCCCCACACCCTCTGTCCTGATGTGTCTACACTTCTGATAATGGTATTTGCTCTTTGAAATGTGGTTCTTCACTCCTTCCGCTGCCTTAATTAGATATTTCCATTAGAGGGTCATGTCACTTGTCTGCAAAGTCTTCATGCATAGAGGAATCTCGGTGAGGCTGTAAAAGGATCTGGGGAGAATTCACCCTTTTATCAAAAGCAGAAGTCACCCTTATCAGATGGAATGAAAATTACTTCGGAGCGGAGGCCTGGAGGCAGGGCCCTGAGCGAGACTTGCTCAGAAACTCAGCCTGAGGCTCTTTCTTCTCTGCCACTGAGCTGGGGGTTAGGGCTCTGTGTTTGCTCAGCTCCTTGCCCAGCCAAGGACAGGCTGGGCCTAGCTAAACACGGGGTGGGGACCCCAAGTACCTTTCCGCAAAGGAAATGTCTAGAACCCCCTTTGGTCCTGGGGCCTAAGAGCTAATCCAGAGAGATGCACTGTTCTCCACCCACACACACACCCCAAACTCAACTTCCACCCCACCGTCAGCTTCTGCCAGGAGCTGTTTTCTTTTTTAATGGAAGTACTGAGGCGTGAACCCAGGACCTCATGCATGCTAAGCACGCGCTCTGCCACTGAGCTGTACCTGCCCCTCAACTGTCAGCTTTCGACTTCCAGTCCTAAAGGGCCTTCTTGAAAGGGTACGGCTATGGCCTGAGCAGGTGTGGAAAGTTTCATGGGAGGGGAGAGGGCTCTGGCCACCATCCCAGACTGAGCCCCTCTGGCCTGCGAGAGCCATTGCAGTGAGTGGTGTCTGCCTCCCGAGGTGGGAAGGATTTTCCTGAAGGATGGCATTCTCCTCATCCTCTCCTTCCCCACCTCCTGTGCACTGGGACATGCCCATCACTGTTTGGAGAGGGCCTCAGGGGAAAAGCCCCGGGGGACACATGAGAACTCGGAGTGGGATAAGTGGACCTGAGACCCTGAGTGTCTGTCCCACGCCAGCCCCGGTGGGCAGGTGCCTGCCTGGACTCCCAGGCTGGGCTTTGCCAGACCCCAGCGCACAGGGACAGGGTCCACCGCAGTCCCAGCTCTGACTCTCTGCGTGTGTGCGTGCGCGCGTGTGTGCACGTGTGGCGTGTGTGTGCGCGGGTGCGTGTTGGGCTTCCGATCTCCGCAGGAGCGGGCAGCAGTGTGCACCACAAGTGTAACAGTGCCAAACACCGGATCATCTCGCCGAAGGTGGAGCCGCGGACCGGGGGTACGGGGGCCACTCGGAGGTGCAGCACAACGACGTGTCTGAGGGCAAACACGAGCACAGCCACAGCAAGGGCTCGAGCCGCGAGAAGAGGAATGGCAAGGTGGCCAAGCCCGTGCTCCTGCACCAGAACAGCACCGAGGTCTCCTCCACCAACCAGGTGGAGGTCCCCGACACCACCCAGAGCTCCCCCGTGTCCATCAGCAGCGGGCTCAACAGCGACCCGGACATGGTGGACAGCCCCGTGGTCACAGGCGTATCCAGCATGGCGGTGGCCTCTGTGATGGGGAGCTTGTCCCAGAGCGCCACGGTGTTCATGTCCGAGGTCACCAACGAGGCCGTGTACACCATGTCCCCCACCGCCGGCCCCAACCCCCACCTCCTCTCCCCCGACGCCTCTCAGAGCCTCGTCCTGGCCGTGAGCTCCGACGGCCACAAGTTCGCCTTCCCCACCTCGGGCAGCTCGGAAAGCCTGGCGATGCTGCCCACCAACGTGTCCGAAGAGCTGGTCCTCTCCACCACCCTCGACGGGGGCCGGAAGATTCCAGAAACCACCATGAACTTTGACCCCGACTGTTTCCTCAACAACCCAAAGCAGGGCCAGACGTACGGGGGCGGGGGCCTGAAAGCCGAGATGGTCAGCACCAACGTCCGGCACTCGCCACCAGTGGAGAGGGGCTTCAGCTTCGCCACCGTCCTGACCAAGGAGATCAAGACTGAGGACACCTCCTTCGAGCAGCAGATGGCCAAAGACGCGTACTCCTCCTCCGCAGCGGCCGCGGCATCCAGCTCCCTCACGCTGACCGCAGGCTCCAGCCTCCTGCCGTCGGGCGGCGGCCTGAGCCCCAGCACCACCCTGGAGCAGATGGACTTCAGTGCAATAGACTCCAACAAGGACTACACGTCCAGCTTCAGCCAGACGGGCCGCAGCCCCCACGTCCACCAGACCCCTTCCCCGAGCTTCTTCCTGCAGGACGCCAGCAAGCCCCTCCCCATCGAGCAGAATGCCCACAGCAGCCTGAGTGACTCTGGGGGCAGCTTTGTGATGCCCACGGTGAAAACGGAGGCTTCATCCCAAACCAGCTCCTGCAGCGGCCACGTGGAGACGCGGATAGAGTCCACTTCCTCCCTCCACCTCATGCAGTTCCAGGCCAATTTCCAGGCCATGGCAGCGGAAGGGGAGGTCACCATGGAGACCTCACAGGTGGCCGAAGGGGGCGAGGGCCTGATCAAGTCTGGGGAGCTGCAGGCCTGTAGCTCCGAGCACTACCTGCAACCCGAGCCCACCGGGGTCATCCGCAGCGCCAGCGGTGTCCCCATCCTCCCGGGCAATGTGGTGCAGGGACTCTACCCCGTGGCCCAGCCCAGCCTCGGCAACGCCTCCAACATGGAGCTCAGCCTGGACCACTTTGACATCTCCTTCAGCAACCAGTTCTCCGACCTGATCAACGACTTCATCTCCGTGGAGGGGGGCAGCGGCACCATCTACGGGCACCAGCTGGTGTCGGGGGACAGCGCGGCGCTCTCACAGTCGGAAGACGGGGCCCGCGCCCCCTTCACCCAGGCGGAGATGTGCATCCCCTGCTGCAGTCCCCAGCAGGGGAGCCTGCAGCTGAGCAGTGCCGAGGCCGGGGCCAGCACCATGGCCTACATGCACGTCGCCGAGGTGGTCTCGGCCGCCTCGGGCCCGGGCACCCTGGGCATGCTGCAGCAGAGCGGACGGGTGTTCATGGTGACCGACTACTCCCCGGAGTGGTCTTACCCGGAGGTAAGACCATCGCCTCCCCTGCCCGCCTCACCTGCCCACCACCAGCCAGCACACAGCCAGGGGAAGCTCGTTTGCATGGCTCTGCCCTTTCTGGGAAGCTCTGGGTCAGGTAGACCAAGCCGTCCCCTCCCTCTGTCCCCAAGGTGCTCAGATTACCCCGTCCTCTCTCAAGCTGTGTACTGTCCTCACTGGAGCAAGTAGATTTAAAGTCAGGGGTCTCCCTTGGAGGCCAGGGCCCCTCCAAGCTCTGCCAGAACAGTGCTTGCTGTCACCTGGCTTATGTGTTAAGATTCCACTCATATTTTGCTTTGCTTCTCTTTTGAGGGAAGGAGGATCCTAAGGCTGCTGAAAAAAATTTCAAAAATCACCACCAGAGACCATCTGGATCCATTACCCTTGATTTATTTCACAAAACAAACAAAAACAAATAATTCCCATCAAATTGAGAGGGAGGGTTACAGCTTCCGAATAGTGATCTGTGAGATTCGGGGGGTATATCCAACCTCTTTAAAAGCAAAGGCATGTTATATGACCCAGGATCTTACACGATCCCACCTGTGGCCTCCTCCCCCGCGAGCCCCCATCGGCCTCAGTTCCCGGGGGGCTGAGATCTGAAGTTGAGAATCAGAGCTCCAAAGCCCAGGACAGCAGGAAAACCCAGGTCTTGCCAAGGTGGCACAAGTGTTTAAGGAAGGAAGCTTTCCTTTTCCTCCGAAATAGAGTGGCGTGAGGAGGGGACAGCATGGCCTGAGCTTCCCCTAATCCCAGGTTGCCCACTAGGACAGGCTCCCTGACCCCTCCCAGCCCACCTGCCAGGTGCTCAGGGAGAGAACATTCACCGTCGGGCCCAGATCGGCACTCTCTCCCCAGGAGCTGGCTGCCCACGGCTCCCTTGCTCCCACTGGAACTGCCACCTTCCCTGGACACTAGGGCAGGGGCTGATACCCAGGACACCAAGGGAGGGGTGCTCCTGAAAGACCTGGAAGCTCATGGGGTACTTTCTTTAAGTGTGGGTGGTGCAGGGATGCTCGCAGAAACCCGTGCACATTCCAGACCCAGGCGCTAGCAGGCGCTCCCAGGACAGTGCCTGAGTCAGGACGTGGTTATGGGGTTCTGTGAGAAGTGAAGCATTTCTGAGAGCCCGTCTCCGCTTCAGAGTCTCCCCCGGGCCCTGGTGAAGGGGACAGCGAGGCCCAGGGTGAAGGGCATGTCTCGGGGGGCACTCCTGGGCGTCAAGTGTGGCTGTGCCGTGACTTCACCTGCCTGTGACACCAGCACCCGCCTCCGCGCGAGGTGTGGTGCCAGGAGTGCTTGTAAAGTCTTTGGCCCATAGTAAGTAATCAATAGTTTATGAATATATCATTGGTTACTATTCTGTGAGCATCACAGCTCGTGGCCCACTGTTCTCCTTTTTGTGTCCCCCTGCCGTGGCCGTGGCAAAGAGGCTGCTCACTGGTTGATCGTGGTGGCCTCAGAGGGGTCACCTATACTGGGCATCTCAGCATCCCAGTCTTGACCGGGAAGCTCACACCTCCCTTGCCTCCTTCCTTTACGGCAAGGCTGAGATACAGTCTGCACACAAATGCCCCCCGGCTCTCAGCCCAGGAAGCAGCCCCGCCCTCACACAGGAGCGTCCTAGAGCTACGGCAGGTGTCAGGAGGGCAGCTCCGCCCGCGCGCTGCGTGAGTGCCTGCGGGCGGCGCGCTCGTCAAAGCCTCGGGTGTCCACGGGCGGCTGCCCCGCGCGGTAAGGAGCACGGGGCTGGGACTGGACAATCCGGATTCAAGCCCTGGCCCCACGCTGACTAGCCAGTGACTTTGGGCGGGGTCGCTGCCCTCCTGCCTGCATCTAAGGTCTCAGGGCGATGATTTCCTCACGGGGCTGCTGTGAGGGCTGAGCGAAGTGTCTGCCTCTTCCGTCCACCTCCAAGGGTCCCCCGCCCCCACGGCCCCCCAAGACTCCAGAAGATTCTGACTCAGTTTGCTCTTGGTGTGGCTTGGCGGGACCCTGTCCCCCTGGGGTGAAAGGTCAGCTCAGCTCAGCAGCTTAACCCCCATGGGGCTTAAGAAAGCAATTCAGAGGGGTCTGAAGGGAGGCCTGGGACTCGGGTGCAGGGAGGTCAGAGCTGGGGGTTGGGGCGCTGCCTCTCTGGCCAGGCTCTGAGACCTGCCTCTCTGGACCTCGGTTTCCTGATCTGTACGTGGCTGAGAGGGGTGGCCTCAAGGCCCGCCAAGTCCTCGGACCTTGGAGATTGTGTCCCCGGGATGCTCTGAGGCTCCCTGGACCCCGAGTCCTGTGGGAAGAGGAGTTTCTTTCTCCTGGGCTCAGCCTTGAGCTGTGACTGCCCATCCCTGGGCCGGTCCAGGCCCTCACTCCAGCCCCTGGGACCTACGGGCTCCAGTCAGGGGCCCTGAGCAGTCCTGGACCTCTCGGTCCTGTACCCAAGGAGTGGCTGTCGGGTCCCTAACCTGAACCTCGGAGACAGTCAGTTCAGCAGCTGGCCACGCGAGGGCGGCACGGGAACGGGAAAGGAATGGGAGGGAGCGCAGGGAGCGGACAGCCCGGCTTTTCCAGAAGCTCCCCATGCTTCCAGCTACCCAGAAACAAGAGCAGGTCAAATTCAGTTTGATTTGGAAAATGCTGGCCTGGGGCCCAACGTGGCTGCTCGGTGAGGCCTCTGCCCGCCACTTGCTCCCCACCGTCCTCCCCTACCCGGCCACTGTTCCCAGTCCAGCAGCAGGGGCCACCCCACTCCCAGTTCTGCAGGAGAGGGCATCTCTCCCCCGCCCCGCCCCTCCCCTCACAGCCCCTAGGCGGGCGTGGTGCCCCCTCACCCTCTCCCCTTCTCTGCCAAGAAGAAGCCTGCTTGCTGCCTATGACAGGAGCCCGGTTCCAGCCAGGCTCTGCCAAGCTGGTGGAGGGCTCTGCAGCAAGACACACAGGCCCCGGGGGCTCTTCCTAGTCTGAAAATATGGGGTCGGTCGCCCAGCGCCCCCACCCAGCTCTAAAATTCGATGGTGCCCCAGCACCCACTTCGCAGGAATGCTAAGGTCTTGCTGTCTCTTCTTGGAGCATCCCTCCCTCCCACAGGACACTCCCATGTCTCCTTAGTTCTGTCCACCTCTTCACCTCCAGCTGCAGCTGGTCACCAACACACAAACACACACACACACACACACACACACACACACACACACACACACGAGGAGGTCGTCCGCGGCCGCGGCCGCCGTAGGGTCGC